ACAGGGAGGAAGAAGAAGCTACTCAATACTGGTGACTCTACAGGGAGGAAGAAGAAGAAGCTACTCAATACTGGTGACTCTACAGGGAGGAAGAAGAAGAAGCTACTCAATACTGGTGACTCTACAGGGAGGAAGAAGAAGAAGAAGAAGAAGAAGAAGAAGAAGATGCTATAGCACTAGGGGGGATCATGCTACATGTAACAGACAGGCATGAGAACAGGTTGAGATGTTTTTGGAGGAAATATTTAAATTCGTGCCGAAGGTTGAATGCTAGAGGGGTCTGGGGGCATGCCCCCCAGGAAATTTTTGAAATATGGAAGAGCAGATAGGCCATTTCCATGCATTCTGGGCAAAAATTCCGTTCCGTTCTTAGTAAAAGACCAATTTCGTGACTTACAATTAAAATTTTTGCCAATTTCTATGAAAATTTCAATGTTTTATGTGGCGGTTAATTAACTTAAAGCATGCCTTATTAATTTACATTACATAGATACACCGCGATATTTATCTGGAGTTCTGTTACTTCTGTGTGAAATTTGACGTACTTTTCCTGACTTCTTATGAAGTTTAAATAAAAAATGGCGTCCATTTTGACAAAAAAAGTATGCATTACCCACTAAGCTTTTTATTAGTTTTTTGGCATCAATCTCAAGAATGACTCAAATGAAAACCAAAACCCGGAAATCCGCAGAAAATTCTCATGCCTGAACAGAAGAAGCTGCTTTGATACTCAATATTGCATGCTGGTGACTCTACGAGGAGGAAGAAGAAGAGTGAGCTACAATGTCTGATACCCCGTATAGACTGAAAAATGTGATCCTACATAAAACTAGTCTGCCCGGGCCAGGCCCGCGCTAACTCACAGCGTACACACACAAAATGCTGAACCAGGGTAAGTTAGCACGGGTTGACTGTGCATGCTCAGTTTAGCTTGTTACGTCACTCAGCAGACAGCTACTGTACGTTGGAGGAAGAAGAAGAGGAAGCTATAGCACTGGAGAAGATCACGCTACCTGTAACAGAAGAAGCTGCTTTGATACTCAGTACTGAATGCTGAGGTTATAGGAAATGGATGAGGAAGAGGAGGAAATAAGGGAGAGGAAGAGAAGGTTAGTATCAGGGATATAACGACGGTGTTATATTCTGCACTGCGTGACTGTGGCTCTGGGAAGAGGAAGTCATGGCACTAGCGACGTAATGACACTATATATTCCCTAGAACATTTCAGGGTCAAGTCAACTTCCGAACCCCCGATCTGTGAAGATGTGGGCTAGCATTAGGTTACGGTCACAGCTAAATTAGGGGGTTAGAGTTATGGTTAGGGTTTGGGATAGCATTTAGTTAGGATTAGATTACGGATAGGGATAGCATGAAAGTTATGATTAGACTAATAACGATAATGGAAAATATATATAAGAGGATACTAATGAAGATCTGGGAATAATAACCTATAAATGCAACATTTGTAACATATTTACTTTGAGAAACGGCCAGTAACTATGCACTGTCGCAGTCATGCAAAATATAATGAAACATTCCATAAATAAATAAAAGTTCCATTGGCGAAATAATCACAAATCTGGTCTATCGAAATATTCCAACGTACTATAATGTATTCTCCAAGTTTCGGATACACTCTTGACACGGCGATGAAGACGGAGATGATGGTCTTGTAAGGGAAAGTGGTTGTCACAGCGTGAGTGACGACGGGGAACGATGCAAACGAAAACCCTTTCGACGTGAGAATGTCTTTGAGGTTCTTGTCCGGGAGTTCGCTGCCTTCTGCGATGATTGCGCCGACGATGTAGCGAAGTTTTGCTGCCGGGACCTGCGATTTCAACATCATTTTATTCGTACACACAGCGTGTGATCAGTGTGCAATGCAAGATGGAAGTCGCATATACAGTATATATTTACACACACATGACGCCATGAATAATTGTTAGCGTTTACAGTTATGTTTAAGTAAGTTTAGGAACATGGTAGTACGAAACAATTTTAAAAAGACGGTTTACTATCATTTGTTAACTGAATCGCTGCTGTTGGTGTTGTTGTTGACAACAGGCACTTGAAGCGTTTCAATAAAATATAATGCTAAATAAATACGAAATCTATTTACTACCAAATTCTTAATGTTTCTATACTCTCTT